TCCTCTGATTCGGTCAATTTTGTTGCTTATTAAATAAATCTAAACATACGCGCGTAAAAGGGGGTAGGGGATACTTGTCTTTCCCTGAATTTAGCAAGAAGAAATAATTAGACTATTTGAAAATTATTTTTATGATAAAAAGTTAAACTCTTATTGCTCAGTTTATGGCTCACGTGTTTTTCGTAAGAAAATTTGCTGAGGGCTGACTTTAATGTAAATATTTTAATAAGTTTTATGTGATTATAATATTTGTCGCATATAATTTTAACGCTTCTTTGTAATTTACACACTGTTAAATTCACAATGTTAAATTATACCCAATTTGAGTTATTTTGTAATCATTTCTATAGGTCGCCATTGTTCTGACTTAATACGTCATTAATTTAACTAAAATAAGATTTAACTCAAGAAAATGTATTTAATTTGACTAAATTTCGTTTATTATTTACTAAATGTATGTACGTTAATATGGACATTGTTTATTTTGAAATTAATCACAGAAATATATTGATTTAAATCTTGATACAAATGGAAGTTAAAAGTAACAAAATGTTATTTTTTTAAACTCAGGGATTGGGTTATCATTGCTTCTTTAACATCTAACAGTGTATCACTTGGAAAAATAAATGGATTCAACAGAAAGAAAAGCATAAAAATGTCTAGATGTATAATTTTTATAATAAGTGTGTATTGAGTTTTGAGAAGTGCAGATATAACCTTCTTTCGTTTTCTTCTCTTTTTCATCTCCATTATAAATATGAGCAAAAATTGCGATAGGATAAAGATGTTTAACAATTGCTTTTCTCTGTTGAGTCTCTTCAATTCTCATTTACGGGGCACGTCAGTGGTTCGATATGTCGACGATAAGATAAACGAAGAGAGTAAAAAACCTTCCAAAAGACAAAAGTTGGCGTGTCGAAAAGGGAGGGATATGTGTACGAAGATTGCGCGCGATTGATATTCGCGTTGCTCGCGGATATGGTTCAATTGGACAGCGATCGCGATTGATCGATATGCCGTAAGAGCAGTCGTATTTCACAATTTTAATTACATCGTAGAAAGCCGAAATACAAGTATAAATATTGCATAAAATTCTCATCGTATAATCTTCTCTTTTGCGATGGTTAGGAATTCTTTAATGTGTCTCTTGCATTTCACGTCGATTCATGGCTCTTCACGAAGTAATTAAAGATTTTTCATGAAATACTACAATATATACGTACAAAGAATATTCAAATATGGGTCGAAGAAACCCGACGATGTTCGCCGCTTTTTCATGTAAGCGTATTTTCCGGGCCGCACATTGAGCCTCCACATTTAGCGCCGAATACGGCTGTTTTATTGTTTTATTTGTTCATTTGGCTATTATATTATTATGAGTGGCCTTTCATCAGCCTTTCGTCAGATATACACGTTTAGCGGTAAATGTCGGATGTCAATACGGATTGAAATTAATGGGGGCTTGATTCACACTATCAGGGACGGATTTAATTGAATTGAGATGTTGAAAATTCTTTTCGGAAAGTGAGGCTATTTTTGTTTAACATACTCATAAGAAAATAATTTTACACTAACTTATACATTCCTATATTACATATGTACTTCTTTCATATTATTACATTATTTATTACTCAATTATAATTAATTCTACGATATTTTTAAATCAAATAATTAATTATTTATTTTATGAATGTTAATGTAACGCAACACATACAAAAATTTATATTTTCACGCGTAAATTCCCAAATTTATTATTATGTCTGTAATTTGAGAAACATAAGTTTAATATATTTGATTATACAATTAAATTTCTTATGAAATTAAAAAAAATACATCTTATATTAAAAAACGCAGTCTTACATGAGATATTAATCTTATTATATACATTACACGTAAAAAGTCGAATTATTATCTACGCAAAGTATGTACTTTTTTTCTATCTAAATAATAATATTAAATCATCAAGTCTTCCCAATTGGAAGATTTTCGAGATTGAGATTGGGCATACACTTATTTGTTAATACTGAGTTATTGCAAAGCTGAGCCCGTAGTTTGAATCAAGCCTTTTATACATTGTCTCTGGAAATGTTAACAACGAACAATTTACGACGATGATCGATATGTTATAATCATGGACGTTGCGTAGTTTTATCGATCGCTCATTTAATGCTCTTTACAGAAGCGAGCAATGTTTCCTTCTGTGTAACTATCGCAGCATTCGCTAGCATTCGCGAATTTTATTACAATCACTATTACGATCACTATTACGCGTTTCTTCAGTGTCTTAGATCAAGTTGCATTAAGTTCGATCGCCAACAGTGCGATAAGTCTCGACAACTTTGTTATTTAGCATTTTTTGGCAACAAAAATTTCTTTTGTTCCTTTTTTTCAAGCATATTATATATTGTTTTTGCACTTTTTTTACAATTTAAGTTCGTACACGGAAGAACGATTTTTAACTGAAATATCTAAAAATTTAGCTAGATACAGATCTAAAAACAATTTTACAGAACTATTAAAATAATTACACAGAAATCTCAAGCATGATGAGTAATGTTGCAAAAAGTTTCGTCATTCTAGCAATCAGTTTAAGCATTTTACATAATTATTTTGATGATCCAACAAAATTATTTCAGATTTAGATTTTTAGATACTACAGTAAAACCGTCTTTCTCTATGAAAGATATATTTTATGTCTGACTATACGTTGCATTTTTCTACTGCGTTCTCAAGTTTGCGCGATCAATACGTTATTCTATTCAATAAACATTCGATATTGAAACAAATTCGTATGTTTTCTTACATGAGAGTACTTTGTACTAATCGACTTATTTTTTTGCGAGATTTAGCACAACGTTGGCAAGCGAATAACGTCATGACGTTCGCAGCAACTAAAGTGGATTACGGTCTCTTGGTAGGAAAACAGTGAAATTTGACGGTGTCTCTCAACGTCACGCGTTATCAGGGGCATCGTAGAAACGCGTCGTTGAATGTGCCGATGTATCGTACATACCACGGGATTTCTCGAGAGGCCCTTCGCGCCGCTGCTACGATCTTATTTCACGACGTTTACGTGACCGGAAGGAAGCGTTTCTGCCGCTCGCGCACCGCCGGTGGTAATCACGTAAACATCCGTCGAACATTTCCAGCCTGTTCTGTTCCGTCACTTTATCTAATCGCGTGGCATTGCTATGAGAATCGCGAGATCGAAGATTGACGATTCTGCTAGAACACTTTATATCTCTATCAACTTTTTTATGAATTTTTCAAAGAACGAAACAAATTTAATATTTTTTCAGGTAGTTCTTCAAAGAACTTTATAGTTACAGCATTTTTAATAATTTTCCTAGATACAGCATAGATCTTTAAGGGATGTTCTAAGGACGTCCAGAGGACATTCTCACGACGTTCCTCGAATAAAGTGTGCCGCGATGTTTAGCGTTCGCATAACGGATTTTAGGTCATTAGTGTTTCATTATTAGCGTTTGCGGAAAGAGATAAGGATGGAAACGTTTGACGGTCTTTAAATTATCAACAACGGTTGCGTATAAGGTAAGAATAAATTCACGTCGATTAACTTAGGCGTTTAGCTATTTTGTTCGAAGGGAAGAACACGTTTACATCATTAGCTCGACATGCGTGCGTGTGGTTGTCCATATATTGTATATGTATATATATATATATATATATATATATTTATTTATTTATGTATAT